AGTACTTTGACAGCGGACAAGGCTCAAGCGGGTCTGCTGGAGGAGGCGGAGGTGGAGCCAGTGGCTCTGGGTTCTCTGGCAACTTTTACAACGCCCTTCAGATGATGGACACCTCGGAAAGTTCGGGCGCCGGCACCAGTGGCGCTGGCGGTGGCGGTGCAGCCGCCTCTACATCCACTAGCTCAACACCGGCGGCAGCAGCATCAGCAGCTGGGGGATCCTTATCGAAGTCCACCTGCGCCACATCAACGTCGGGGTCCACGGGGTCTCCAGCCTCAACGTCCGCCACCGCTGCTGCGGCTGCTGCCGCCTCCAGTCATCAGTCGCCGTATGACTTGCGTCGCAAGATCTCTGCCAGCAGCCACGAGCAATGGTGCTCCAGTGGACCCTCCTCCTCCGCCATACTCGTCGGCCCATCAAGCAGTTCGCCGCCCCTGGTGAATCCCAGCTCTTCACCATCCAGCTCGTCATCGTCATCTTCCACATCCTCGTCTTCGTCATCATCCACTTCTTCGTCCTCCTCATCCTCGGCCATCGTGCAGGCGCCCTCCACGAGCGCCACATTCCCGGTGAACAACGCCCCCACCACCGGAGCCACTCTCGCCCAACCACCCAATGTGCACAGTTCCGTGCCGCAGCAGCATTGCGGTGCCCTGCCAGTTGGCGCCGCCATCGAGGACAACAACTACATGCTGCCGGCCAGAAAACGTTCGCGCCGCCTGTACACTCAAAGCGGCGATGCGGGTCCAGCTCCCTCCACGGAAGTAACTAGCGGGGGCACAGCCACTGCAGGAGGCAGTGGAACCCCCACAGCTGCCCAGTATCTGCAGTACGAGTTAGCCGATGAAGTTCTTCTGGCCATCTTCTCCTATCTGATGGAGCAGGACCTGTGCCGCTTGGCCTTGGTGTGCAAGCGTTTCAATACCATCGCCAACGACAGCGAGCTGTGGAAGCGACTCTACCAGTCTGTCTTCGAGTACGACTTGCCCCTGTTCAATCCGGAGCTGTGCAAGTTCGTGTTTGAGAAGCCCGAGGAGTCGGAGTATGCGAATCCATGGAAGGAGAGCTTTCACCAGCTGTACCGGGGTGTGCATGTGCGTCCCGGCTACCAGGAGAAGCGCTGCTCTGGCCGCAGTATTGTGTTCTTCAACACCATCCAGGCAGCTCTCGACTATCCCGAGGAGAGGGCCGCTGCAGGAGGAGTGTTCGTGTCCGGCGCTGGCGCTGGTAATGTCGTCACTGCTGGCCTATCCAATACCAGTGCCGCTGGTGGCGGTGGCGGTGCAAGTGTCAATGCTCTGGTCAACATTTACGAGGAGCAAGTGGCACCAACGGAGCATCCCGGACCACTGATATTCCTTCATGCTGGCCATTACAAGGCCGAGTATCTGTTCATTGACTCCGATGTGGCTCTTGTGGGCGCTGCACCCGGCAATGTGGCCGAATCTGTAATCCTCGAACGGGAGGCCGGCTCCACTGTGATGTTCGTGGAGGGAGCCAAGTACGCCTACGTGGGATATCTCACACTCAAGTTCTCTCCGGAGGTCACGTCGACCGTTTCCCACCACAAGCACTATTGTCTCGATATTGGCGAGAACTGCTCTCCCACCGTGGACAACTGCATCATCCGCTCCACCTCTGTGGTGGGTGCAGCCGTCTGCGTGGGTGGTGTGAATGCCAATCCCGTAATACGCAACTGTGACATCAGCGACTGTGAGAATGTGGGTCTCTATGTCACCGACTATGCCCAGGGCACGTACGAGCACAACGAGATCAGTAGGAATGCCTTGGCCGGCATTTGGGTAAAGAACTTTGCCAGTCCCATTATGCGTGAGAATCACATTCACCATGGACGGGATGTGGGCATATTCACCTTTGAAAATGGCATGGTAAGTCCCAGTATCTGCTCTTCTATAACAATCTCTAAATGAATGTCTTTTGCAGGGGTACTTTGAGAAGAATGATATACACAACAATCGCATTGCCGGCTTTGAGGTGAAGGCTGGTGCTAATCCCACCGTTGTCAAGTGCGAGATTCACCATGGCCAGACAGGGGGCATTTATGTGCACGAGAACGGCCTGGGGCAGTTCATAGAGAATCGCATTCACTCGAATAACTTTGCAGGTAAGTAGAGAAGCCAATGACCGATGACCGAGAGGGACTGTAACCGACTTTCAATCTCTTTTTAAAGGCGTCTGGATAACCTCCAATAGCAATCCCACCATTCGCAAGAACGAGATCTACAATGGCCATCAGGGCGGTGTGTATATCTTTGGAGAGGGCCGTGGTCTGATCGAGCACAACAATATTTATGGCAATGCCCTGGCCGGCATCCAAATACGCACCAATAGCGATCCGATTGTGCGCCACAACAAGATCCATCATGGCCAGCATGGGGGGATCTATGTGCACGAGAAGGGCCAGGGCCTGATAGAAGAGAACGAGGTTTACTCGAATACGCTGGCCGGTGTCTGGATAACCACTGGCAGCACACCTGTCCTGCGGCGCAATCGAATCCACTCGGGCAAGCAGGTGGGCGTTTATTTTTATGACAACGGTCATGGCAAGCTGGAGGACAACGACATCTTCAATCATCTGTACTCGGGCGTGCAGATCCGAACGGGCAGCAATCCAGTGATACGCGGAAATAAGATCTGGGGTGGCCAGAACGGCGGTGTCCTTGTCTACAACGGCGGTCTCGGACTGTTGGAGCAGAACGAGATATTCGACAATGCCATGGCCGGTGTTTGGATCAAAACCGACTCGAATCCCACCCTCAAGCGGAACAAGATCTACGATGGCAGAGACGGCGGCATTTGTATATTCAACGGCGGAAAGGGGATCCTTGAGGAGAATGACATTTTCCGGAACACACAGGCCGGAGTGCTGATCTCAACGCAATCGCATCCAATACTTCGACGCAATCGGATCTACGATGGACAGGCGGCTGGTGTGGAGATCACCAACAATGCCACGGCAACGCTAGAGCACAATCAGATATTCAAGAACAAGTTCGGTGGGCTGTGCCTTGCCAGCGGCGTTCAGCCCATCACACGCGGCAATAACATCTTCAACAACGAGGACGAAGTGGAGAAGGCCGTCTCCAGTGGCCAGTGCCTCTACAAAATCAGCAGCTACACATCCTTTCCCATGCACGACTTCTATCGCTGTCAGACTTGCAACACCACCGATCGGAATGCCATCTGTGTTAATTGCATCAAGAATTGTCATGCAGGCCATGATGTTGAGTTCATACGACACGATCGGTGAGTATATTAAATAAATCATTATCTTACAGTAGAGTGCATTTTTATACTCTCCTCCACAGCTTCTTCTGCGACTGTGGTGCTGGCACCCTGTCTAATCAGTGTCAGCTGCAGGGTGAACCCACGCAGGACACGGACACGCTGTACGACTCGGCGGCGCCCATGGAGTCGCATACGCTGATGGTTAACTAGGGGGAGGGCGAGCAGTCAGTGTATCATCCTAAGCTAGTGTATCTCCTAAGTCGTTAAGCCCCAACATGCTCTCAATTCTCTCGCACATCTCACAAGTGCTGCTGTAAATATTCAAACAAAAGCCAAGCCCAGACCCAAGCCCCCTCCCAATTATACAATTCTTGTTGTATGTAAATAATAATTAATTATTTTTTCATTCAAAATTTAACCTCAATGTGCAATTTAGTTTAACACACTCACAAGAATAACTCACACGCAAAGTTTATAACGTTTTAATTGAAAAGAAAACACAAACAATCGAGAATTCGAAACAATTAGTAAAGAAAATTGGAATTTGTCTATCAATGTCACATCGAAGTAAGGCAAAAAGGAGAAAAGAAACATTTTTACCATACAATATATGCATTTGTTTTGTACGACGGAAAATGTTGTAAACGTAGAAGGGGAGGCAGACGACGAACCCGAACGATAGAGCCCCGTTTGAACCCAGTGAAGAACAATTTTTGTAATGTAGATTAGTAGAGATTTTAAATTTACAAAAAAAAAAAATAACAAAAAAAAAACTTAAACTAAAATAAATTCTATATTTTAAGCCATAGATGATAGAGAGAGAGAGCGAGATACATGGGTGGAGCTAATCGGTGGCCACTGATTAACAACAATTCGAAGAAAGCAATTCTAAGTATTAACAACAAACTAGATTAGCGGCAGGCAATGCTTCAGCAAAAACTAACTTATATATATATCGTACGAGTATATTATTGTAAACCCCCCACAAATCTACCCTTTACATATAGACACACACAAACACACACACAATATATATAGTATACTCGTATTACACACATATGAATCTATCTGAAAAACTAAACTAGCACTCAGAAAAAGATACAAATCAAAAGAAAGCCTTTACCGTGCGTAAAATACCAAGCAATATTTCATGTCTAAATGTTGTAGAACAAATTCGTAGCGCAAAGCATAACAAAAACATACAACAGAAGCAAGAAACAAGAAATAAAAGAAAAAACAGAAGCCATGTGTCATTTAGCCAAGTAAGTTCCGAGTATTCGAATTATGCAAATCACTTATTATTTAAGTCTGTAGCCTAAGTGACAGCAACTACATACAATTATGCAGAGGAGAGTACCTCTCCCGTTTACCATTAACCTTTAACCATTAACCAGCGTGTCGTATTAAGTATTTTTGTTTTTATCGCATAGCTTCCCTCCCTCCTCCCTTTCATCTATTGTTTGCTAGTTTGTTCTTGTACTTTGGTTTTAATTTGAGTTCTTATTGGAACATTTAAACGTGCATACGTACATTCTATCCATAAATGCATAAACATACATATACTATATACACATAAGAAGTAGAGATTTATTTTAATGTGTTACCTATGCAGCTAATATCGTCATCGTCGTAGCCCTTGACTTGGACAAACCACTAACAATACATATACATATATATATAAATATATATATACACAAGGTATAAGCTAATAATATTTGAAATTTGACAAAAAAAAACAAAAAAAGCAAAATGTTTGTAAAATCTATTTTTAATTGAGATTTCTATTCTATACAGGCACATGGATCCTTCTGGTCGTTCTTCTCCCTGAAGCGCAGCAGCGTCACAATGTGATCGTGATGGGCAGCCTTAGCGTAATCTATGGGTGTCATGCCCAGTTCGTCCTTAACATAGGGATTCTTGTAGAAGGGCAAAAGATAGTCGACCACTTCGTGGTTGCCCAACTGGCAGGCATAATGCAGTGCCGTGCGTCCCGTGCGATCGGCCAGTGATAGATCCGCTCCGGCCAGCCGCCAAGACTCCATGCGTTTGGTCTTGCCGCGCTCTGTCAGGGCGCGCAGAAGTTCCGCCTGCACCTCGGGAGGGTCGCTGAGGACAGCACCTTTGCAGAGCAGAGCCTTTATCACAGCATGGTTATCCGTGTCGACCGCCTCGTGCAGCGGCGTGCGGTTAAACCTATCGTGGATATTCACATTACAGCCGACTGCCAGCAGAAAGCTCACGCAGTTCAGTTTGCCCAGATAGCAGGCCAAGTGCAGGGCGGTGCGTCCGTCACAGTTTTCGTCACAGAGGTCAGCCCCATACTGCTTGAGATCCCCCAGCTTTTCCACATCTCCGTTCATGACGGCAGCGGACACTAGTGCGGGATAGAAAATCGAGCACATCTGCTCCCTCTCCACCGACGAAGACATGTGCAGAGTGCGTGCCACGCCCTCAATCAAGTCGATATCGTTATTCTTGGCCAGCTTCTTGGTGGTCAACTCTCCGCGTAGACTCAGCAGCATTACCTTCTTCTTGTTCGCCAAATCCCACTCGCATTTTCCCAGCACGTAGGCCAGTTTGGTGAGCGCCGCCTCTGGCGTCAAGTCATAGCCAGGAATTACACCTATTTCGGTGAGAACATGGCCGCACTCGTATATGGGGGAAACGAGGCCGGTGGAACATTGCGAGGTGTTGACAACTAGCACACCTCTGCCGACCGCTTCGCGCAGCACGTCCAGGATTTCCTCCTGATTCGCTGGAATGTTGCCGGCCCCGAAGCTCTGCAGGACCACGCCCTTCATGGGCTCCCTAAGGAAAGCACAGATCACGGCGGGAGTTATGCCCGGATAGAAGCGCAATATGCCCACATTCCTCTCCAAGTAGCCGTGCACCGAAAAGTCACCGATGCTGCAGGGACGGAATATTTGCCGGTTGTTGATCTCAATTTGAATGCCCGTCTGGCCCAGCGGCGGCTGATTCGGTGAATCAAAGGCGTGGAAGGAGTTGGCGTTGATCTTCGATGTGCGACAGCCACGCAGGATCTTATTGCCAAAGAAAACAAGAACTTCCGGAATGTTGTAGATGCCCGCCAGAAGCAGAGAGCCCAGAAAATTGTCTCGGCCATCAGTGCGGGCCTCAAATATCGGAATTTGTGCCCCCGTCACCACAACAGGTTTGTTTAGGTTCTCCAGCATGAACGCCAGAGCAGAGGCCGTGTATGCCAACGTGTCCGTGCCATGAAGTATAACAAAACCGTCATAGGACTTGTAAGCATTCTACTAGACAGAAGTATTGTCTGAGAAGTGAAACAGGCTCAATAATACACCTTAAACTTACGCCCACGTCCTTGGCAATTTTCTTCCACTCATCGCAGCCCATGCAGCTGGAATCCAACAGGGGACAGTACTCCAACAGATCATACAGAATCCGACATTGGGTACCCTCTACCACGGGCAGAACCATAAAGGATACATTCTCTGCCTGGGCGGACTTGTATTCCTTATCGTGAAAGTTGGGATATTCGCGTAGCCGTGCTGTCAATTCCTTGGGTGCAGGGGCCAGCACTGTAAAAGAATATTGTTGAATAAATGTTGTGACGAATAGAGTTTATATTGGTAAAACTATCATACCTCCCGATGCATTCCGCATCATTCCGATTGTCCCGCCCACGTAGATGACATGTACGCGGACTTCCTTCTTCTTGCGGCACCCACAATTCTTGGCCGGCATTTTCAGGGATCTCTGCTTTTGGAGCAATTTTGAATGTTGTGTTGTTGACGTTTAAATAAGTCTGATTCAAACATTTTCGTGTTTTTTTAAATTTATTTTGTGCATATGGTAGATACTTGAACAGTATTTTCAAAGCAGAACGCGCTAGCACGTTTCTTTTGTTTACACTAGGAATGAGCAATAGTCATACTCATACTACTACTACTACTGGGGTGTAGTGGAAGTACATTACTTAAAAATATAAAATGAAACGCAGCAGTTCAGATGAAAGATAACGTGTTGATTGGGTATTTTTAAATAAAGAGCAATTATGGATCTACCAGGCAAGTTTATAAAACTGTATTCGTCTTCGCGAATTACTCAAGGGTTCACCTTTTTAAACGCAGGGTGGCCATGTTTTGAAAACGAGAAGGTATATTTCGGTATAGCAATGAGTATCAGGAGATATCGATATGTTATATTGCGGAGTAACTCTGCGGTCACACTGTTCAGAGTATAAATAAATAAATAAATACAATTAAATTGCACCCCAGCAGCGCTTCAAGTGGCACTGAAATCTCGTCTTGTCGTTATCTTTGTGGCTGTTTGTGGCTGCCCGTTCGTTTAGTTGCAGTTGCGGGCCAACGCTGAGAGGGAAGCCACACAAATAGAAGCAAATTAAAAACACTTATCCGCTGCTGCGGCAGCTTGGGACTAGGGGATGTCCTACTTTATGCATACCACTGCTATCAGCGACTTGGTCAATCTCAATGTGGGTGGTCAACGGTAAGCAAAGCAGAAACTCAACAGATTACGATTCTCGATGCAATATGCGAATGATGCTGATGACGCATGCAATATTTAACGTTCCGTTCCGTTTCCTGTAGATTCTCTACGTCACGGCAAACGCTTACGTGGATACCAGATACTTTCTTCACGGCTCTCCTCAGTGGGCGCATCTCCAGCCTGAGAGACGAGCACAATGCCATTTTTATTGACCGCGACCCGACCTTATTTTCCATCATTCTCAACTACTTGAGGACCAAGGACATCGATATCAAGAATTGCGAAATACGCGCCCTGCGACATGAGGCCGAATACTATGGGATAACACCTCTGACCAAGCGTCTGGCGCTCTGCGAGGATCTGAATCACTCATCCTGTGGCGATGTGATATTCTACGGATTCCTGGTGGCTCCGCAGATGCCCTCTAACGAGGCGGTGCAGGCAGCCGTCGACGTCGACACATTGCCTTCCACATCGGGCAATGGGGTGGGGCGACCTGGATCCATGGTGCGGGTGCCAGAGCCGTCACGGGCCACACACTCGCGAAACTCTTCGTGGGATCTGCGTCTGGGACGAACGGGTAGCGGAAACGGCAACGCCAGCGCCAGCTCCAATCCCCCAGCTCCCATGCTACACTCCCGGAATCCTTCCCTAGACTTCATGCGACACTCGCGAAACTCATCGGCGGATCTGAACAAGGTGTTTAAAAACGAGGTTGGCATGGTGTTCAGCCCCACCCAAAGTTCCCATTGGGTGGATCCGCTAAGAGTGCAGATCATCAAGGCTCATCAGAACTGGATAGCCGTGGCCTACGCCCACTTTGTGACCTGCTACCGCGTGAAAGACTCCAACGGATGGCAGCAGGTCTTCACATCGCCACACATTGATGCCACCATTGAGCGTATAGCGATCAACTCCAAGGTAAACACATCGACGGCAGAGCCCATACCGAGCAAGATGGTTGCCATTTCGTATGGCAGCCAGATAAGACTGTGGAGCATACAGGATGGTGGCCAGAAGACGGACGTGGGCACCTTTAATCTCAATGTGAGAGTGGAGTATCTGTTCTTCATTGGCAGCCAACTGGTGGCCCTGTCCTCCTCCGGCAAGATTGGAGTGTGGCATGCCATGACCCAGCACTGGCAAATCCAGGACTTGGTCCCAGTTCTCTCGTTTGACTCTGCGGGTTCATTCCTGCTGCTTGGATGCAACAACGGCTCCATATACTACATAGACATGCAGAAGTTTCCACTCCGCATGAAGGACAACGATCTGCTGGTCACCGAACTGTACAAGGATGTGACGCTGGACCCCATTACCGCCATTTCCGTGTATCTAACTCCGAAGACGTCAAGCATTAGTGGTAATTGGATTGAGATCGCCTACGGCACCAAGTCGGGAGCGGTGCGCATTATTGTCCAACATCCGGAGACAGCTGGGCATGGACCACATCTCTTCGAGACATTCTTTGTCCACCAGAGCCCCGTCACCAAAGTGATGCTCTCAGAGAAGTATCTCGTGTCGGTGTGCAGCGAATACCATCATGTGCGCACCTGGGGTCTGACCCGATTCCGGGGAATGCTCTCCACCCAGCCGGGCTCCACTCCGGAGGCCTCTTTTAAAATTGTCTCACTGGAGGCCACCGACTCGAACTACAGCTATGCGGCTGGCAATGATTTCGGTCCCTACGGCGACTACGACGACATGATCTTTGTCCAGAAGGTCGTGCCCGAGACGGATCAGCTGTACGTGCGTTTGGCCTCGAATGGGGATCGCGTCTGTGTCATCCGGTCTGTGGACAGCTCTACCATATCAGCATTTTGTGTACACGAGTGCGAAGTCTCGTCGCGCATGGGATCAAGATTTATACTCACTGGCCACTGCAACGGTGCCATTCAGATGTGGGATCTGACCACCGCACTGACGCTGATCTCCAAGGATGAGCCCCGGCAGAAAACCAACGGCGGACCCGACGCCAACGAGCTTCTCCGCCTACTTGACCAGTGTGAAATCAGCAATTCATCATGCTCAACACCTTGTATGTCACCGTGTCTATCAGTTGTGGGCAACGGCACTGGAATGGCCTCCTCTATAGCTCGCATGAAGGCCAGCAATATTGCATTGTTAAATCGGGAGCCGATCGTCGCACCGCCTCCATCGCCACAAGTGCAAGCCATGCCGCAGCTGCCACCAGTGGCCGCAGGAGTAGCCGCAGTGGCAGTAGCTGCTGCTGCTGCTGGTCCTGGTGCTGCTGCACCTGAACCAGTTATACTTCCGATGCCCGATGCCAACAATGAATGAAACGTGGAAGCGGCTGCTTGTTCGGCGCTTGTCGGGCGCGTTTCATCATTCACATTTCATAGGTGTAGCATGATCTTCGACTTTCAATTTGTATTCCTGCAGTTAATACTCTGCGCCCTCATCTACATGTGGGTGACTCGACTCATGCAGGCCACAACCAGAAATTGACGACATTCGGCATTTAACTATTGAAACAAATAATCTCTATTTGATCTGTGCTCGATGTGTCGATGTTGCAATGTCCAGAGAACCTGTGGATCATAAGTACACTAAGAAAATTGTAAAAGCCCTTTGTTCTAGTTACAATTATTCGAATTAGTTAAAGTTTTCCTAACCCTATAGTTAAAACAATATATATTCAGAGTATAAGACTTCTGCAAGCGATCTATAAACTCCAACACCTAACGCTATCTAACATCAAGGTGGAACGAAGGGGATTCAGTATATAATATAGAATACTTTCTTTGTTCCACCCATTGTCTGGACACCGCATTGTTTTGGCAATCTATTTTCTAGATTATAATTTGTGATTTTTTTTAATTTTGTCAAGTGGAATGCACTCTCTAATTGTGGGATCGAGTTAGGTATGCGTGCACTGCTGTGCAGGAGAGATCCGGTATTGTTGTAATCCTTAAACCACATCCTATTACCATATACATATGAAATACCGAATAAACATTACATATTATAATAATAACAAACGTCAATCATATTTTGTGAGTCATCAATAATTTATTGAACATTTTATCGTAGTTTCTTGTTGCTTGAATACTTGGAAGTGTTTTGTTTTCTCTAACATTTATCAATACAAATACAAATACTTGGCTCATATTTCCTGTCCGTTCTCGTGTAAGTTTCAGTAAAGTAAAAAGCAGCAAAAACGCCAAAACATATAAAAATATATATCTACATATATATAAACTATATATGTGTTAGTAGGTAGTAGGTGTACTCTTCCCCTCTATATCCGTCTAAATATCATTGCCTTAAATAACAAGCAACCCAACCCAATCCAACCCGACGCTTGTGCTTATCAATTTAAACAAACGTCGCGTCAAGTGGCGCGCAGCTCTTTGTTCTTTGTTCTGCTTGCAATTTGCATTCAATTTACCTAAACTAGGACGCACTGGTACTTAGATAGAATAATCATATTGTAGATATTGGAGTATATGTATAGGGAGCAGCAGCGATATACCCTCTCGACTGTTGGAAGTAGCACAATTATTTGCCGAGCCGGGGGACATACATATACAAATAGTTTGTACACAAAGTTAACTTAGGGCTAGGGGGCTATCTTCTATATATGTACTAAAGAGCAAACCGATATGAAGCTGTGTGTGCCATTTTGGATAGATACTTAGTACTTGGTTACTACTTGGTCTGCAAGTCCACGTACCATGGGTCAATGGACCTGCAGCCTAATCTAAGACTGTCGCTGAGCGAGCGCTGTATGTATGTATCTACGATTTATGCGTTTCTTTATGAGTGTGCATCAAATGAATGATATGTGCGTGAGAGATTGCTAAGCAAAGAAAACATCTGATGATGATGGGGAGACGGAGATCCAGCTCACTGGCTACTGGGCTACTATGTGCTATACGTGGAAGTAGTCATCTACTAGCAACTGCTCGCTGGGCGTGGATGTGGAGGTTGAGGTGGCTGTGGCCCCGCTCAATGGACTGCTCGCCTGCGTGTCCGACTCCAAATCCAAATCCGCTTGAAGTGGCTCATAGGCAGGCTCTACGAAGCCGCTCCCGCCCCCACTACTCGTGCTGGTAGTCGTTGTGGTCGTTGCTGTGGCTCCCGTGGTTAGGTAGCACACCGACTCATAGTTGGGATCCGTTTCGCTGCCCGTTCCTGTTAGAGACTCGTACTGGGAGGATATCGGTGTGCTGGTTGCCACCGTCGACGAGTTGAGGGACAGGGAAGTGGATGTCGAAGTGGGAGATGTTAAAGTTAAGCGGCTGCTGTTCGATGTGCTGCCCGGGGTGCTGGCAGCTACATTCTCGGCTATTCTCGCATAGTGGTCCGTTTCCGCAGTTTTTGTTTCCAGAATGCTGGCATAGTTGTGATTGGCATCGGCACCTGGAATAGTGCTGTAGCCTCCAGCATCCCCGCCAGTGGGTGGCCGTTTTTTCTCCAGCACCTTGGCATATCCATCGTCCGAGTGGGCACGACTCTTGAGCACCTCATAGTTTGGATCATAGTCGGACTTCTTGGCATCATCTTCACTGGGTACGGGATGCAGCTGCAGTTGCTCGTAGCCTGGATCGTTGTTGCTGTTTGACGGAGGCGGCGGCGGTGGCTGGCTAATAGTCTCATAATGCTTTGTGCTTGCGCTGTTCCCAATTGCTGTCGCTTTCGTCACAGGCTGGGCAATTGCTGAAATGGTGGCGGGAAAAGACAACAATAAGTGGACAGTTTTTGGTCGAATGGAAGGCATGAATGTATCTTTTGTGGATTGTTTGATGGGTATCCTGGATGCGATACTAACCACGGCTACTTCCAAATAAAAACTCGTGAAATTTTCGTCGTTTCAACTGAACAAATACGAAAATTTCTCATTTTGGCAATTCGACTAAGTGGGGAAGGCACAAGGAGAGACAGATAGATAGATAGGCATATTAGGCATTGGGCAGAGATGAGATTAGCCGCAGGTTATAGTTTAGGCAAGGATCAAGAACAGGGTCGGGAGTCAGGTAGCCTCTGCCTTACCTCCTTCGTGCTGGCGCTCCTTCTGCAGCATATTGGCTGCATAGCAATCCGATTTGCGATTCTCGTGCATAAGCTGGCCATCTGCTGGGATCGTCTCGTAGCCGTGATCCTTTGCCGAGTAGCTGTTACTGCGCACGCGACCCCCCTTCTGGGGATCCACAAGCAAAGCTGCCGCACTGTCCAACGGGCTCACTCCCAACGTATCCTGCTGCTGCTTGCGCGTGAGAATGGGCGAGCTATTTTGCGACGTTGGAGAGTTTCGTGAGAACTTGTGTTTCTTCATAACCTAAAGTGGAGTGCAAAACGACTTAGAGTCAAGTACTAACCGAAGCTTCAATGGATTTTACCTTGGCATACATGCCCTCGATGTTTTTATTGCCTTCGGCGACGCCTTCCTTTGAGGGACTGAGACTTTTGCTGTGCTTACGATGTGGAGATGCCTCGCCAGATGCCTCTACGTCGTGGCCATCGCCTCCAGCTTCAATCACCGAAATGACCGAGTTACGGCCAGAGGCGAGGTTGCTAATGCTGCTCGCATGCAGATGGACACTCGACTTTGGCGTTGGTGGCAGCGGCGAGTTTGCCTGCCGCTTCTCCGGCTTGGGCGAGCCCAGATTACACACAGAAGTGCTAATATTCGACGAGGACGATGCCTGCCGTGAGTGCATCTGGGCTCGCAAACTATCCACAGGCGGTGGAACGGGCCCGGCGTGATCAGTTGATCCGATGTTGCTGTTAGTTGCCCTCAGAGCTGCGCTATTGATGCCACCACTGACCCCGCTGAGAGCAGAGTTTGTCGCTGGCAAGCTGCTGCTGTTGTTGATTTCAACGGCCACCACTATAGGATTGTTCTGCATGGGCTGGATTTGTGCGTATGTTTCCGAGCCGCTGGTATAAATTTCGGCGGCATTCGTTGGGTGCCGATTGTTGGGATCCTCAATGGCGGCATACGTCTCATCTAGAGTATCCAGAGATTATTGTTACTTGCATCAACATATTATTATACAAAGATTACGAACCTGAATCATCGGATACGGTGGCATAATGAGAGTCATTCACATCGCGTGCCAGCGAGGCATTCCTGTTCGTGGACTTGCCCGGCGGCTGCTGTGCCAGTATATTGGCCAGCGGCTCTCGCACGCTAATGCTTGTGTAGCCCTCTATGGAATGGTTATAAAAAGTTTTAGTATTTACATACTCCTTAGGGAGTGGGTGCACACTCACTTGATGAGTCCTGCGAGTCACCACTAAAGTGCTGGTTGGCAATGGGCGGCGTCATGTAGGGCAGATCTTGGCTTGCTGATATCATGCCCGCAATGGCCGATGCTGCCGGAATTTCCGCTTGCGCTGGCGCAGCGTCATTGTGGTCTCTCGAGCCGTCGCTATGCTGCGAGCTGCGATGCAGGTGATCGGCACTCTCACTGGATGTGCCGACTACGACCGCAGCCGCTGCAGCAGCAGCAGCTCCTTGGGCCGAGTGGGATGTGGACGGTGCATTTAGCTGGGCATAGGGGTGCTCAGTGGCACGAACTTTGGCATAATCATGCGGTAATCCCTTGACACGCGAATACGGTGAACTGACATCATCCGCCTGGCTTATCGAGCTGTGCTGCGAAACGCTTGTCTGCTTCTTAAGGCTTGGCTGGGCTGTGGAAACGGTGACAAAGGTTAGACACTCAATCGAATCTGAGCGAGTTTCCACATACGACTTTGACTACGAGCATTGCGTGCATCCACAAACTGTTTATCCGCCACAGTCTCGTATAATTCGGAGCCATTATCGTTGCTCTCGGCCACAGGAATGTCAGGCAAACTACGATGCGCCGCCGTACTTGATCTGAAATTGCGTTCATGATTCATTTTCCTTGTGGTAAAGAAATAATATGTGGGACCTACCGCTTCTCCGAGTCAGCATTTGAGACAGTCGAGGCATTCAGCTCTGCCTGGGACTCACTGTTGCCCACCAGGCTGGTAACTACAATAACTTCATCCGGATTCTTCAGCTTGACCATGCCCTCCAGTCCAAGCAAATCATTTCTGAGAGTAAAGAGTAGAAAAGAGAATGGGGGAGTAGGGGGGACGAAGGTGTAATTAGTGGCATTAGTGCATCCAACTGTAACTGGGCGGCAGAGAGAGATCGACTTTCACTCTCTCGCGGTGCCTCATGGTAGCGAACCTCGAGCTCTCTGAACATTCGGGGGCTCCACTCCTGCACACTGAATGACTCCTAAGACTGACTTACTTTGGTATTTTCTTTTTGCAGCAGAGACACGCGCCTAACATTACAATGAGAGTCAGCGTCAAGTTGAGCGTCACCAGGAGGTACGTGTAGGAGGTGTTGGCTTCCAAGCGATACTCCGAAGTTGCCGTCTCGACCATGCCCATGCTTATACCTATGTCTATACCTATACATATGCACTATGTATCCATTAAACACTTTTCCACTTATTACTCTACTAATTTTCCACTTATACTTATCAGTTTGTTGTTTAACATTTCTACTAGGGCCAGTGTGACCTCGGAATTATCGCTAAAATATACCGTCCGACCCATAGAAATATACCAAAACTAATATACGTTTACACTTACATATACTGCAAATATACCGTAGTCTTGAATCATATTCCTCGACTTTGATATTCTATTTAATATTACTAGCTTTGCAAAGTCTTTTAACACTGAAACAATAATTTAATCCAATTGAAGAATCTATTTGGCTTATTATAAATACTCCTTTTTTTTTTGGATTGTGAACCTTATAACCTTATATTTTACAATTTTATATTTTAATTTTTCATTTGATGGTCAGGGCATGATTATATCTGAACTGATCAAATTTCCACCTAATTGGATCCGATTTCGAGGGTGGAGACTCACAAGGAGTCGATTGCGATGTCATTCGCACTTGTAACTGAGAATTATACTGAGAACACGGAATAGAAAAACATGGAAAATACATATGTTCATTAGTTTTTATTTCATACAAAATATTTGGTCTCAAAACTATACTTAACAATTGTGCTTGACCTCAGGTTGGGCTTAATTCTAATTTATTCGCTTGGCACGTTTAATGATCATTTCGGATCATAGCTCTGCATGCTTGAAAATTGTCTTTTCAATGTTCTCCTGCAGTTTTTCTACTTTGCGAGCTTGTTTTTTCAGCTGGTCCTCCATATCTTCGAAGCGGTTGCTCTTATCCTTGTGCTTCTCATCCTACAATATGAAAAATATATATAAAATATCAATTAGTTTTACAACAATCCCGGCTCTTATACCTTGTACTTCTCCTTGTGAAGCGCATGCTCTGCGTGCAGGTGTCGCAACTTCAGCAAGCGACTCTCGAAATGATTCAGTTCGGTTTTGATGGAAGCCAGTTCCTTGACCGTGAAATTGCTTGCCTGAGCAACGCGCCACAAGCCCTGAACCTTGGGCTCAATAAAGTCTTGGCTGTGCGGTCCAGACGACACCAGCCGCTCCAACCTGTCGTAGTGATCCTTGATTCCAACATGATGGCCACGTAGAGTATTCAGATCGTTCTCAAATTTCTTTACATTCTGATCATGGGTCTTTATCTCGTTTTCGTTGGCATCATTATTCGAAATCAGATTGTATGTGTCAAGGTCTTCAGTGTTAATGGCATCTAAATGGAGAAGACAAATATGAAAAACAATCGTTGTTTTAACATGTCAACTTTTAACTATGTCAAAACATACTCTCGTGTTTATCGGAGTCCACAGAGCCAATGTTTTCCAGCAAGCTGTAGTAAACATCTACCTTATCCTGATGATGCTCAAACTCTTGCTTAAGGGACTTTAATTCCTCAGACGTGAAACCGGAAACTTCGGCTTTCTCCCACAGCCTATTAAGTTTCTTATCTTTAAAAAGACTTTTATTTTTATGCCGTTCCTCGGGGTCGTGGAATTTCTGTGAAGGGTAAGAGCAATAAATCAACCTGTTGAACTCAATAAGGAACATACTTTGAAGGGCTTGATTTTCTCCGCATCTTCAGTCTCGTCAAAGTGCTCCAACAGGTCGTAGCTGCTCATTATGCCAATCAGCTTTCGGCGCAGTTCGTTTTCCTTCAAACCATCCTTGTCCTTGTGCTGGGAGTTGAGCTGCTTCCAAGCGATCTCCTCTTTGTCGTGGATCTTCAGCTCCATATACAACGACTTTAGCTTAGGCTCCGTTAAACGCTACAAACCACACATAATTGTATTTCTAGTATCCATGTTATCATTTCTCACTTACATTCTGAGCTTTCGACCACACAAGATTCAATTTGGCCATGCGGAATGGGCGCTGTATTTTCTTAAAGTCCGGGTCGTACTTCTCGTCCGCGACTTGCTGGAAATGCGGGTCATTGGCCTCCCGGCTGTACTTCTTGCTCTGTTTCTTATCAGCATCCACGCAATGGCTGCCTATAAGTAAGGTCAGTGCGAGCACCAAACAAAGCTGCACAAATTTCTGCATTTTTAACTTTTTGGCCCGGAAAAATGCACATGCAATTTTTTTAGCTGCTGACCTGGCCAAACAGTTATTCTAAAACCATCGATGGGACTATATGCAGTATCGATGATTCTTATCGACCATCGTAAGACTTTGAAGTCTATAAAATCACAATTAATCACTCCTTAAAAGATAAAAAAAAACCAATATAATTATGAGGAACCGTCATCCAGAAAATGTATCCATCTTTGGCCAACCTACACTATTTTGTCATTGTTTTGCTTCGCTTTGCTTTTTGATCATAAGTAACCGCAAATGATTCTACTCATCGATGCAAAAACACGATGTTTTTGTGCGATTAGCAAAACTGATCGGCCTTTTGTTTTAAAAAAAGTGTAAATTATTGGTCTTAAATTAATTATTTAATAATAAAGAGTAAGCAAATTATATCTTAAATTTCTAGCCTGAAAAGTGCCTATTGAGATAATAAATTTTGTCACTGCCAACAGTTGGGCAGCAGACAGCACAATAATACTGCTAGCAGTCTCCACCTCCCAGGCGGCGCTGCTGCTGCTCCTGCGAGAGGCCGAAATACTCGTGCTCTGCCTTGGACAAGGCATTTTTGGGAAGATAGGGAAGAACCGTTTTGGGCACGGCGGACAGCATACGGAGACGTTCGCTCTCCTCAAGGGCATGCCGTTCGTCTTCCGACTTCTTTTTCATCATGGAGTATTGGAGATGTTCGGCCGTGGCCTCGGCACGCCTGACGTGGTTGTCCTCAATCATCGAGAGGAGCGTGGCACCATGCGCCTTTCGCTGTCGGTACGCCTTCAGTTGTTCCTCTCTTTCGATCTCTTCATTATTGCTAGCAAGCTCTTCTTGCCGGGCGGTTAGTTCGTCCCGCTTCACCTTCAGCTCGTCCAGCTTTCGTTGCTGTATTTCGAGGTGGTACAAATCCATTTCCTGTTTCGTGCGTTCCCGCGACACTGCTTTCTCCTGTACCTCTTGGCGAAAACGCAGGTCCGCCCTGGCCTTGTACTCGGCCTCCAGTAGATCCATTAGCTGACGGTCTCTGATTCGTTTTGAGTTCTACCACAGACAGATAATAATCTTAATGTATGGAAGGAGCTAAAGCGAAGACTCTGTGAACTCACCTCCACTTGGAAGAGCTGCTGGCCAATGCGTGTACTAATCTCCTCATGTTTGCGCATCAGATGTACTCTCTCCTCTTCGAGTTGGTTCTTTCTGTCCTCAACGTCGGCCTGCGTCTCGAGCAGCTTTCGTAGTTCTTCCCTTGCCCGGGCCTTTTCCATTTCTTGGAACTCCCTTTTTTCTTGTATAAACTGAAGAGTGTTCAGACGATCCACAGCCTTCTGACGAATCCTCTCCTCCTGCTCGGCTCTGTCCTCCTCCTCGATTTGCTTCTGCCTGGCATTGCTAAGCTCCCGCTGCGAAAATTTCTCTGCGGCCTCCTGCTGGCGGCGTAGTCGGTTTTCTTCTATTTGAAGAGCGAGTGACTCACGAAGCTTACGCTGCTCCTCCTTTTGGGCCAATACTTTGTCGTCCTCCTGGGCCAGCTCCATCAGCTCCATGGCGGCTCTCTCCTGGCCCAGGGCTCTGGCTCTCACAGCCAGACTGCGGGCCTGGCACTTCTGCGCCATGCGGTCTGACAAATCCTTGGCAATCGCAGCCGATCGCAGCTGTTCCTCAAGCGTGCGCAACCCCTCGCAATCGTTGCGGAGTTGCTGGCGCCGCTTCTTCTCCAAAAACTCGGCCCGCTTGATTTCCATTAGCTCGTGGGATATGGCCGCCTTTTCGAAGTTCTCGCGGTGCATCGGATTCTCCTTGGACAGCTCGTCGCTTCTCTGCAATGTCCCCAGCTCGGCCATCAAGTTGCGTGAATAGACTCTGCTCTGAAAGTCGAGATCCTGCGGTACTCCGCTTGAAACAATAAATTTAGGTTTTCCGCTTATAAAAATGGCTGGAAAAGCGTTTCTGCCCCAAGTCCGTTGTTGGGCACCGTCTCCTGTGCCGGTCGTCATGGTTCAAAGTAACAATAATAACAAACGCAGGAAAGAGAAAAAAAGTCAATAATATTAAATACAAAAAATATAAATGAAGGCGTCAGGCAAGCTTTTATCAACGATCGCTTACTCAGATTTTGTGCGAAGTTGCAAATAGTCTCAGGTGCAGGCAGACAAAGGTTTTATTATAGAATTCCCACGCTTTGTTTATTATTATTTAAATAATGATACTCCTCGTTTGCGCCTCGGGGTGAATGGCAGATTTCGATCAAAGTTTATCGTATTACCAATTCGATATACATAGAACTTGATCGAATTTCGAACATTGACCAGTGGAAAACTGCAGTAAACAAATTTCAGTCATCAAATAACTTAAAATGTAATTGGTTTCTTCCAAAGTAATCAAAGATGATGAATTTCTAATATTAACGAGCGATCGAAATGCTAAATTTTCTATTTAGAAAATGCAGTTGGAAAGTATTGTTTGTCCTGCTCAACAATTTGGTCCAACAGATCGTCAACGTCCGTGGTGGGGTAACGCTCGACCCAGGACTGAATGTAGCCCTCGTGGCTGGCCTCGTACGTCTTCAGCTCCACCTTCTTGTCATTGACCTCCGTGTTGGCCTGGACGAGTATCATGCGCGGCTTCTTGTGGGCCAGACAGATGTCACGCCACTGGGCCCATGGATGCGAACCACTGTCGTTCACCTCCGAGTAGTGTTCGTACATTTTGGTGGCCGCTTCGATGTCGGCCGTGGACTTGTACACCTGCAGTTTGGTGAGGAAATCCCCGAGGGCCTTCTTGCCGACCGTTTCGATCTTGCTGCGGTCCAGCGTGAGCAACAGATCCTTGCCCTTTTCCGTTTCTTCGACGGTGACCAGACCCTCGCCCGCCTCTAGTAGCACTTTCATGATGACAAATCGGGCACGCGAATGGGCCTGCTGCCATTGCTTCGACTTTGGATTGTACATCTCGAGGGCCACACCCATGCCATTCCAGATGAGACTCAGCCAGTTGATGTAGATGATGTTGTCCTGCTCAACGGCATCCTTGATGCCGAATATCTCCAAGATATCCCGCTGAAGAGACAGATAGAGGCCCACAGCCTCAGCACGACACTCCTCGTAGGAGGAACCGATGGCACCAAACTTCGTGTCATATGTTTCACCTGGCAGATACCACTTGTCGATGGTTTCGCCCGTGATAAGATTCTTGGTGCTCTCCTTGTCGAAGTTGTAGACACCGTTCTCATCGATACGGAATAGCTTGCCACTGCCATGGCCCAGCAGCTCGTGGAGGCCCACTTGCACTTCAAAGGCCTTCACTTTGTACTCCTTCATCAGCGTTTGGTCGTCCTCAGTGAGGAATGGAATGGGATCCTTGCGATTGATGTTGGCCAGCACATTTCCCAAGGAGACATTCTTGAATCCCTCATCCTGGCGGATCTCGTCATCTATTGAGAGAGGAAATGTCAGTGTTTTGGGAGGATGGAATGTATTTAGAATCCTTACAGTTTGGTATGTTGATGCCAGCGGGCACTCCGCTGCCAGCAAAGGTGAGCACATCGAGGGAGGTAAAGTCGGGCTTCAGATACGAGTCCTTCTCGTATGGCTCCGTCCAGGGCAGATACTCCAACAGCTGCTCGGCCCGATCGACCAACTCGGTGAACTTTGCCGAGCTCTCCTTATTGACCATGGCGACGAAACCCTCGAATTCGGCACGCCCACCGGCCGGGTCCCTGTACGTCTCAATGAAGCCAATGTAGGTCTCAATGACGGGTCCCTTGTCCTTGATCCACCAACGAGAGCCGTTCTTATGCTCATCCAGCGAACCTTCCTCAAAGGATTTGATGTAGTGCTCGATCATCTTGGCCTCATTTTCGTTGGCAGCATACTTCTGGGCCTCCAGCAGATTCTTGTTAACACGCTGCAACAGCTTGCGGTAGTCGCCGCGTGTGACACGGAAATTGTTGCCCTTGTACTCCTCGAGCGGCAGCGTAATGCCATCCTTAAGGGAGTCGGCCACCGAGCCGAGCTTGATATCGTAGATGGTCTTGCCCTCCTCCTTGATCTTGAATGTGCGGCACATGTACGGCTCGATGCGCTTCGATGTCAGCCATGAGTTGACAATTTCCGAGTCCTCCTTGGTGCAGTTGTCCGACCAGTAGGTCGTCACGCCATTCGGTGCAAAGCCCAAGATTTCGTTACGCGATTCCAGCGCATAAATAAGATTCTTGACCTTCTCGTAGATCTTGGCCACACGCTGATTGGCCTCAAAGGCACCCGAGGCGCGCACAATAGCCTCGAACTTCTCTGGGGACAGATTCGGCAAGATCTTGCTATCGCCCATGCCCTTGTAGTTGCCGGCATTGGCGAACACGCCACAAGCGTACACCACAAAGCCCTAGAGTTGAGCAATACATTAAGGAATAATATTGAGAATGTTTTCTTTCGTTTTCTCACCGTGAACTCTTCCTCAGTGACGCCGGCTGCCAAGGCCTTGACCTTCAGTTGTTCCGGTTTCTCGGCCACAAAGATGCGATGCAGCAGGGAGAAGATCAATGGCGCCTCGGGACTGGATTGGACGAGAGCAATGAGTCCGCCATCCCACGACGCCTTGCTAAAGTAATGAGCATAGAGCTTCTCCTTGTCGGTCAGATTCTCAAAGGCATTCTTGCACTCCAAATCGGCAATAGGCTGAGTATTTGGCAGCACAAAGTGCGACGTTTTGCTTGGCATCTCAGCGGTTTGTGGAAGATTTGCACTCGAACTGTAAAGATAGCAAAACCACAATCACATTTATGTATCTACATCCGATAATATAAGTTTAAACCTGCGGAATACCTGTGGCGAATCAACTGTGTCGCGAGCCTAACAACGTTTGTGGGGGCACCTCTGGCTCTAAGCGGGCAGGGCGTAACGCTGCTGGGGGCGTTTAGCGTAAGGCTGAGACTGCTGCCGGCACGGATACGTATGTGGCAAAGCCTGTTCAGTTGTTGCCGCACCCTCTGAATTCTTTGTAGCAAGAACATGACTTTGAATTTTTGAACTTTATGCAAGTTCGGTCGAGTGGAAGACGGAACCTACGTGTTAACAGGACGGGGCATGTGCTTGGCCTACTGCTGTAAGATGTAAAATTCTACTTTAATTTCGAAATTAAGCCAAATACAAAGAACATGGAAACTTGATGATTGTGCACTTTTTTCTGGGGCTCTTGCAGGTGTTCCACACATATGCATTGTTGGCATTTATGCGGGAACCTAATACACATGAATATATTAACTATATTTACGTAAATATATAGCGAAAATTGCACAAATTGAGCCCGAAAACCTGTGGAGCAAATGGGGCTCCAGCAGGAAAAATGAGGATGCAATGGAGGCCACTCTATGCCGAAACTAATTGGTTAGTGTTTTGCAAAGCAGAACTGAGGCCTTCCGCCAACAAAGGGGAACAAAAAACAAACGAAAAATAGTAACTAGCGTGCGTACTAACCTTGTAAAAAATTGCAGAAGAATTGCAGAAAAATTAAATTAAAACAAGTGCAAGTTGTACAATAAACAGAGTGACCGCGGTTTTATCATGTCGAATGGCCCCTTAAAAATATATAATTTTTCTTTAAATACTGAAAATATACCGTTAAAAATAAAATTCTGCTTATGGGAGTTTCGACACCCTATTATTGTCTTTGATATATCTTAAAATCACGAAATCGCATTCTCTCCAAACAAGAGCAAACAAGAGAGAAACAAGAGCAAAAAATTGGCGGATTTTAGATACCTAGAATATCTCTAGATCAAGATAAATAAATATGGTATATGAATAGGTAAGAGCATTTCATTCTAACGTAATTTCAAAAGAAGCTTTCAAAACGAAAGTTTAATATTAATTAAGGGATATAATGAAAATGATTGTTTTAGCCTCGTGAATCCTAGCTAATATTAAATCGAGGAAAATGTTTTAAGATTTACGGTATTATTTTGAAAATGATAGGTATATTTTTGAGGGTCTTGCGGTATATTTGATCGATAAATCCGCGGTCACACTGTTAGGTACGTACTACGTGTAATTATCGGTAGTTAAAAATAAAAATATAAATACGCTACTAAGGCACAACCACTCACAATTCCAGGATAGAAAAATTAGATGGCAAAGCAACCCAGTTCGTTCGGCTAACAAACCCAACTAAATTCCAGCTTCAAATAGAGAGACGGCGACCTTTTCAATTGTGTCGTGCCTGTGACCGAGTCGGGTCTCTGTGACCAGCCTGAACACAGTCAGCCCCTCGCAAGACACTGCTGGGGGGAAGAGCGGAGCTGCTCCACATATATTTATAATAGGAAATAAAACAAAAACAACACCGAACAGCAATAACCAACGGCAGCCAAAATTAATATCTTCCTCGAAACAATCAGCCAGCTGGCTGCCTTTGCGACCAACAGCGAGAACATGCAGCTGCTAATATCATCGGTCTGCATGGCGCTGACCAGCGCCGTAATTGGCAATGCATATTTCCAGAAGCAGCAGTTCTATCCCGCTGTCGTCTACATCACCAAATCCAATGCATCAATGGCAGTAAGTAAAACCTCCCCTGCAGTCACCACTTCTCCGGTTCTTAAGTCTTCCTCCATTTCATTTCAGGTGATTTACATTCAGTTCTTTGTGATTGTTTTCATGTTCGGTAAACTGCTGCGCAAGGTGGGTGCTATACTTTAATGCCGGAATGATCGGACCATCAGTGATGCTAATTTATTTTTCAGATATTTCTGGGAACGCTGCGTGCGGCTGAGTTTGAGCATTTGCTAGAACGCTTCTGGTATGCACTCACCGAGACCTGTTTGGCCTTCACCGTGTTCCGAGATGACTTCAATCCACGCTTTGTGGCCCTGTTTACGGTGCTGCTGTTTCTCAAATCATTCCATTGGCTGGCCGAAGAGCGCGTGGACTATGTAAGCTAAGCAGGGGATGGGGAAACCCCTTCATGGCACACACTAATTTCGTTTCTCTTTCAGATGGAGCGCTCGCCAGTACTCGGCTGGCTGTTTCACATACGCGTCGGCAGCCTGTTGACCATGCTGGGTATTTTAGACTATCTGCTGCTCATACACGCCTACAATTCGACATTGGTGCGCGGACCTACAGTGCAGCTGGTCTTTGGCTTTGAGTATGCGATCCTGCTGACGGTCATTGCCAGCACGACCATTAAATATGTGCTGCACGCCGCGGAGATGCGCACGGACACGCCCTGGGAGAACAAGGCAGTGTTTCTGCTGTACACCGAACTGGTGATTGGCCTGATCAAAGTGGTGCTCTATCTGCTGTTCGTGGTTATTATGGCCAAGATCTATGCCCTGCCGATGTTCGTGTTCCGGCCCATGTTCTTTACCATACGCAATTTCCGGAAGGCTCTCAACGACGTGATAATGTCCCGACGGGCCATACGCAACATGAACACACTGTATCCGGATGCCACGCCCGAGGAGCTGCGACTGTCCGACAACATTTGCATCATCTGTCGCGAGGATATGGTCAATCACTCCAAGAAGCTGCCCTGTGGCCACATTTTCCACACCACCTGCCTGCGCTCGTGGTTCCAGCGCCAGCAGACCTGTCCCACATGTCGCCTCAACATTTTACGCACTCCGGCAATCAACTCTGTGGCCATGCCCCGAGCAGCCGACGATGCTGCAGCAGCTGCTGCTGCGGCTGCTAATGGTGGTGGTGGTGCAGCTGGGGCTAATGCTGCCGCAGGCGCAGGCGGCCCACAGCAGCCAGGAACAGAGGATCCCAATGCTGTGGCGGCTGCTGTGGCTGCAGCTGCAGCTGGACTGGACCTCGATGGGAATCTGGGAAGAGCCAGGCGGCCAGGTGGAGTCAACGTGCCAGCTAGTTTCACGGAACTCTTCGCCGAAGCCAGTGAGTTTTTGAGTTGCTCTGCCCCCCACCTAGTAGATTCGCTACAAAAAAAAACGTTTCCCTTAGATCGCTTGCCGAATGGATTGCCCAACCTTGGCATACCTCGACCGCCGATTCCACCCATGCCCATGCTATTCATGATGCCGCCGCAATTTGCCTACTTCACCCCACCTCCCCTACCGCCGCCGCCCATGCCCCAGGATCTATCCACACTCAGCGATGATGAGCTGCGCGCCATGGAGGGAGACCAGCGCAAGCATATAGAGCAGCGCCTCAAGGTAAGTTCTCACTCTCTGGCTAACTTCCATTGGGTCTAACGCACTTTTGTTGCTCTTTAGTTGCTGGGAAACATTCATCTAATGCTGGACTCGGTGGGGATCATGATGAACCAGTACCAGACACTGACGGCACGCTTGCAGCTAGCTGCAGGGCCCTCAACATCCACACCAACTGCTCCTCCAGCGACAGGTGATGCAACAGAAAGTCCTGCTGGTGTTGCTGCAACTGCAGCTGAGTCTTCATCGTCATCGGTGTATGACATGCCCAGTACCTCGGCGGCAGCTAGAAACCAGCAGGAAGAGACTCGCCAGCTTAATACTACTGTTGGAGTGGCCGTGGTCGCAGCTGGCAATGGTGTAGAGAAAGTGACTATTGAGGATCTGGGCGCTGACGAGGATGATGTACCCAGCACGGCCACAAAAACTGTGAGCCTAGGCAATGCCGAGGCGGAGGTCGATGAGAACTCCTCCAAATTGAATGAGCTGCGAGAGCGGCGCTTGAAGTTCTTGCAGGATAACAACAAAGCGGCAAATGGCAGCGAAAAGGCGACAACTGATTAGAGCGATTCCCAGAGGAACTGAACTCAAAGCGAACAGCAGTAGCAGCAGCAGCAGCAACGGCAGCGACAGAAGCCACAGCGACAACATGCAGATCTGATGAACACAGCACCTCCAGTCTGCCTCCAATGCCATCCACCAAAAACAAAACAAATTTTATATTCAAACGGATGGGATATATGTATATTGATTTTGTTCTTTTCATATGCTCTGCCCATTTCTGTGTGCTCTTCTTCCTTGGAACCTCCTGTTCCTTGACTCTGTTACTTTTGTATGGCTTGCGATTTGGAAATTTAAATATAATGACTAAGACGACTACGATGCCACCACACACACCCCATCCCTCCCACACACACACAAACACACACACCTCTTCCCTCAACCCCACCCGACGCATGCACATGTGGAAGGAGAAGGATGGATGGAACGAGATCTTATTGCAGCGCTGTGCGGCATCCAAAATTCAATATGTAGCAATACTATATATTGTGTAAAAACTATTTTAGAGATGGGAAAACTGATGATTTGTATTTAATATTACTATATGTGTATAATTAATGTGAAATATAATTAAAAAACGAAACGTGAATTGAGAATGGGCGTTACGATTACCGATAAATATATTTAAACTCTACCTACTACTTACGTACAAACTAAGTGCAAAAATAAATTAAATGACACGCACACGCACGGCACTTCACGGTATACTACACGCTACACATAGATAACAACAGTCGACCGTCTGGCCCCGCGGGTATGAAAGATTTGCATTTGCATATTGCCGCATCAAATTCGCGACTCCAGCTCCCGGAACTCGCCAGGGTCGGTGAAACGAACGGTCAGTATGTAGAACAGTGTTGGAAACGGCACAAGACACATGAAGGCATAGTGATAGTTGAGCGAGGATATCCCGTAAGCCAACAAAAGCCAATGTACAGCTGCAAGAACAAGCAACAAATTGAATATTTTAATAGTTAAACTCGAATGATGTTTCTACTTACAAATGATGACCACATTCTTCAACTCCCACACTGAGGAGCAGACGAGTGCCTTCAGGGTTTGATCCAGTTTAAGGGAATAGTGTATGGCATTGGCCACCATCGAAATGGCCACGCTCAAATACGGAAACGAGTAATCTGTGATGAAATGAAATATTAAGATTGGTTTTCTGCTCGTTTAAGCTAACTTACAAATCAAGCCACAACCCAGGGCATGGACAAAGGTAAGCAACGGCAGGAAGTAGAGGGCCGAGTAAATGGGCGCCTTGCTTTTGCCACGCACATCCAACAGTTTGCAGACGACGGGGCGCATGAGAAACATGTTGACCAAACACAGAAAGTAAAAGACCAGCACAATAGTTTGCCTACACAATAAAACGGAAACGTATAAAGTTTATAGTATCTAAAAGAGCTTTTAGAGTTCGTGTACATACAGCGGGTAGACAGCCTCTTGGGTGCAATAGACGCGCGCCTCATAGTTGGGACTGGGATTGTAGAACAACGTGTACCAGTCGGTGAGCTTGCGCACCTCGCACGCATACAATCGGAACTCCCACACCGGCTCCATGAACAGGGTGGCCAAAATGGCAGACAGGGCTACTTCCACAAACGCGCTGGCTGTTAGGATCAGCTGCTTCCGGGAAAATCTGAAATTGGCACAGATTATAGCTGCTGCAAAACGCACATCCCATCCCATCCATAGAGGCGTTTTCTCACTTGCGGTCCTTGGCATCCATGTCAATGAAGAAGCAGTGCATCATGAGCGGCAGCATCGTCATAAAGCCCAGATATAGCCACGAATATGTGCTCAATTCGTCTCGACATGGCGAACAGGCATAGCTCTCGTTTACCTGAAAAATGGGACGTAAGAAAATATACAACTGCAGTCATTGCAGGTCTACGATAATGGTCACACACCCGTGATCCTCGGGGACAGACCCCGCAGTGGCTCCAAGTGTCATTAGAAAGCAGCGATCGTCCGCAGTAGGCGCCTGGGCATCGTTCCAAAGCGTCGTACATTTTTACAGAACCAGCAGGTTCGCACAAAAAATAAACAAAGCCACTTGACTATGTGTGTGCCACATTTGAGTGTATGTGTATGTGGATTCAGTAGGACCGTGAAAATATCAACTAAATATACCTAAATTTGCCCACATTGACCTGCTCTAAATACCACAATCGTTCTACGCATTGCTGAGACGCGGTTGCCAACACTGCAGAAAAGCACTTATTGAACTAGCTCAGTTCACACTAGTTCAGACCTGAACTGCACAACTCTAGCAAAGAAAATAAATAAAATACACTAATTTAACGAAATATTGCACTTGCAATGCAATTAAACTAGTTGTGGGAGGAGCAGAGCCCATCAACTAACGCTAAACACATCCAGAGCACTGGCAAGTACTCTCGAATAAAACGACACCAAAGCAGACGCCATTTTGTCTATTGGCCGGCTGATTTGTGAGCTTAGGGGGCCAGAAAAAAATTCGCAAAAGTAGTTTCTAAACATTTCGAGTGTGCAACTATAAAATTCTAAGACCCAAATTGAAGTGTTAGATATATACACCCAAATTGTGCAAGAGTGGTAACAATTGGGACGCAAAGTGAATAGGAAAAAATGGGTGAGTTGTGTGACTGTGCGCTCGCTCGATTCGCAAATAAATATGTGTGGCCTGTGTATGTGTATATATTTTGTGAATGTGGAAAACGGAAAAACGTCTAAAAAACAATGGAAAGTGATCTCCGACAGTGTGTCCTGGACTCCAAAAGTGAAATAATGATATACTAATTGGGATTACATGCATGTTGGTGCGGCGTCTCCGCCCCAGCAAAGTTCTCCCACCAGCCGCCCCCACCATCGTTGGTCCGATGGGCAGTAGAACATATTAATTTTATTTTGTATCTTTGCACAGTTGTCGCTTAGAGTCGAGAACCAAAAAATGGTGCGGCTGAGGGGCTTTAAAACTTGCGAAATCTTTGTGCGTAGTTATTTTCACCACCCCCCACCCACCGACCGACATTCCGAATAAGGATGTGAATGTAGCCGGGTGAGCGTAGTGTGTTGGTAGGGAGGCGGTTTGTGCTGGGAGGGAATAGGACAGCGACGTGATGTAATTTTCGGGAGAAAAATGTTCTTTGTTTGCCTAAAAACACACAAAAAAACAATAAATAAATAAGAACCAGAGAGGGAGAGATAGTGAGGAAGAGAGCAGCGTAAAACAAAAACAACATTAAATTAAATTCACTCACACACCCGTACACATTTCCGCAGCGGCTGATTCGGTGGTGCATGTGTGTGTGTGTGAGTGAGTGAGCGGTGAGCGACCGACACCGACCCGACGAAGCGAGAGAGAGGGAGAGCAATATTTGTGTGCTTTTGGAGCATTATTTGGCGCTTGCTGCTCGCTCCACGCTCCCGTCTATTAAATAATATTGATTTTTCATATTCCAACCCAAAAGGCTCTCGTGCCAAGTCGCTATACCCATACATACACACTGCACTCATGCACACTTATACACAGTCATGTGAACATATACACATACACGCTGGTGCGTGCGCGAGTGTTGCTTGTATGTGTGTGTGTGCGTGTTCGTGTGTGCTTTTTCGGTCTCCCTTGTGCGCCTGTATTTATTTGCTTCTTTCTTCTTTTTTGTACTTCGTTGCAGTTTATAGATTTTTGCAATTTGTGACCGCTGCTGTGAAGGAATATGTAAACTAAACGCAACGCGCCGCGAAAAGCAGTGCAAACACACACAAACACGAGCGCGCACGGGACTATTGCTCTGATTGGAGCAGGACAATAAGAAAAAAAGACGAGCCCATCAGCCCGCAGCTCGCGGCACGCAGCCGGGACCGATCCCGGGAGCCGCCCCCCGAATTGTCTCGACCAGCAGTGCCTCAAATAGCTAACCAGACAACAGGCAACACAGAAACGGAAACGGAAACTAAACCCAGGACTGCCATAGCCAACCAACAGCCAAATAGCCGCCCAGTGCAGACTGCAGTAGGATTACAATCACCACTAGGACTAGAGTTCCCAGTTCCCCACCCCTTGCTCAGCCCCGTTCTACGTCTACGCCCCACCCACGACGACGACAACGAAGTCGCTGCTAAGGCAGCCACAGCGCAACAAGAACAACCACAATGACGTTCGATACGCGCAGGCAAACCACTGGACAGCCGACCAGCAGCAGCAACACCACCACCACCAGCACTGGCACCACAACTACAACAGCAACCACCACTACGAGTCCAGCTCAGAGTACCATGACGGGAATTGGGACAACTGGAGGAGCTGGTACGGGAACGGGAACTGTCACTGGATCAGGCACTGTCCCAGTCACGACATCGAGCGTGCCGAGCAGTGCGGGAAGCAGCGCCGGAGGTGGAAGCTCTGCCGGAGGTGGCATGGACACCACCAGCAGCAGCAGCAGCGGCGGAGGCAACAATCAGGAGCAAACGCCAGCCAGCACAAGTGCAGACGCTGACAATGTAGTCGGATCGTCGTCGGTCAGCAGTGTGGAAAGCATTGTCACAATGGTGTAAGTGGGCGTGTCCGGAGGAGCTTTGCATGATTGCTCCCAATTAGCGGAAAAAGGAAGGAACGAAAGAGTAGAGGTTTAGTGCGTAGTTTATTGCACTTAATTAGAGCAGAAGTAGAAGCAAAAGTAGCAGTAAAAGTTTGTTTTTCGCGTATTCCATTCACCCCTTCCCTTCGCCTGGCCTAACTTAAGGCCTCGTTCTCTGTTTACTTTTGCGCAGCATTCCCATCCCCATCCCCGTGTGCATTCGCTATTTGTCTAGGGTTGGGCTCACTTCACAAATTGCGAATAATAATTTCATTAAAATAAGCTCTCTCGCGAGTCAATTAATGGATAAATGCTAATAAACGGAATGTAATACTGCACACACACCTGTCTGCTTGTCCGTTGTCCGATTTGAGCAAACAGCTTCTAAAGGCAAACAAATATTTCTGCTCGTGCCAGCACTCGTGTCGGTGTGTGCGCGAATACATACATAAAATGGTATCACGAATCATAAACAAAGGGCCGAGCAAAGAACCACAATAATTACGTTTGTGCAAAAGAAAAGCCTCTCTTTAATTTTCTATTACGAGATAGTCAGAAAACTATTTATACACTTTTTTGCCCAATCGTTCGTTTCTTTTGAGAGAGCGAGAGAGAGAGCGAGAGATATTCAATCTTATCAGCTGTTTTTTTGTTGTTGATAAAATTAAAGCCACGAGCGTCACACATAATTTGTTGTTTGGGTGGTTTCTCGTCTCCAGGCCACCAGAGAAGCTGATATCATCGTTTCCCATAACCAAACTGCGTTCGCTGACCCAAAAGATATCGAATCCGCGATGGGTGGTGCCCGTACTGCCCGAGCAGGAACTGGAGGTGCTCCTGAATGCAGCCATTGAGCTGACCTTGGCCGGTAAGTCACACACCCGCGCGAGGAGGATTTAATCAATAATTTAATTGCCGATTTTCGATGCAGGTGTGGATCATGACTGCGAGCCGTGTGTGGAGTTCTATCGGAATGGGCTGAGCACTTCGTTTGCCAAGATCCTAACCGATGAGGCTGTCAACTCGTGGAAGTACAATATCCATCATTGCATCCTGGTGTCCTGCGGCAAGCTCTTGCATCTCATTGCCATACACATGCAGCGTGACAATCCCTACCTGCTCGATCTGCTGGCCATTGTGTTCGATCCGGAGAATAAGTTCAATGCATTCAATGCGGCCCGCCAGCCGGAATGTTTTGCGACGCCCGACTGCATCTGGGGACAGCTGGACAGCAACAAGATGTACGCGAGGCCACCGCCAGAGCCGAAGAGCGCACGCGGTTGGCTCGTGGATCTCATAAATCGCTTCGGCCAGCTGGGTGGCTTTGACAATCTGCTCGAGCGATTCAACAAGGGCCTGGAGCTGCTGAAGCGTAACCAAAACAAGGTGCAGACCATCAAGAGTGGAAGCGAGGGCGGCGGCGAGGATGGCGGGCAGGACAATCGCTTAACTCTGGCATTGATACACAGCCTTCTGCGGCCATTTGGCCAGTGCCACGAGCTCCTGACACCCGCCACCATTGCTAAGTACTTTATGCCAACTTGGAATGTGGTCCTCGATCTGCTGGACAGCTTCACCGATGAAGAGCTGAAGCGCGAGGTGAAGCCCGAGGGGCGCAACGACTATATCAATGGGATTGTAAAGTCCGCACGTTTCCTGGCCAGTCGCCTGTCCGGCCAGGAGGAGCTGATACGCGACCTGGAGATGTTCCGCCTGAAGATGATTCTGCGCCTGCTGCAGGTGTCCAGTTTCAATGGCAAAATGAATGCTCTGAACGAGATCAATAAGGTTCTCTCCTCGGTGGCCTATTACTCACATCGCTCTCAACCACTACCGCACTCCCTGCCCGAGGACGAGATGGACTGGCTGACGGCGGAGCGCATGGCCCAGTGGATCAAGGCATCCGATGTCCTGGGCATTGTACTCAAAGACTCGCTGCATCAGCCGCAGTACGTGGAAAAGCTAGAGAAAATCATACGCTTCCTGATCAAAGAGCAGGCCCTAACGCTGGACGATCTCGATGCCGTGTGGCGTGCCCAGGCGGGCAAGCATGAGGCCATCGTTAAGAATGTGCACGATCTGTTGGCTAAGCTGGCCTGGGATTTCACGCCCGAGCAGTTGGATCATCTCTTCGAGGCGTTTCAGGTGAGTCTCAAGCGAAACAAATACCCCATTGGGTTTTTTTAAAATGTTTTTCTTGTCGTTGCATGCAGGCCAGTATGACGACGGCCAACAAGCGGCAGCGAGAGCGTCTACTGGAGCTTATCCGTCGCTTGGCCGAGGACGATAAGAACGGTGTTATGGCCCAGAAGGTGCTGAAGCTGTTCTGGACGCTGGCCCACAGCCAGGAGGTGCCGCCAGAGGTGCTCGACCAGGCCTTGGGAGCGCATGTCAAGATCCTCGACTATAGCTGCTCTCAGGAGCGCGATGCTCAAAAAACGATTTGGCTGGACAAGTGTGTAGGCGAGCTTAAGGCTGGCGATTCGTGGGTGCTGCCCGCTCTCAGGCTGATCCGTGACATCTGCTGCCTGT